GATACACAAATCATCGCAGCCTTTACAGTTAACTTGATACAATGATCTTCGAACGACTACATTTTTAAAGCAATAGAAGTAATTTATTACTTGCTTCACCAATATTTATTTCAGGCCTTAGCTTATGAATAAGTAAACTCGTTTTTATTCGGGGGCTCTGTTTGTCATTGGCTCTTGCCAAGATTTTAAAACAGTTAGAATGAACAACGTGGATTAGTGTGAGTTTCATGTACGACTAATGTTCATCTATTTTTTCAAGATGTCACTAAATACACGCAAAACACCAGCACAAATTGTAAACAAAGTGTATTATTCCTAGTTAGGAGAATGAAATTAGCTGTTCTTTCAACAGCAGTCCTCGTGGGGAAGAGCTAAGAGGAATTACAGACTGGGAAATTTGGCCATCATTTTTGTTTATTGCTTCTGCCAGTCGGGATAAACGAAAAATCACTCCGAATTTGGAAGTATGTTGCCAATTTATTCATATTCTTGAGAATAAACAGTTGACAAATTCCCGCTCCTCAACCCTTTAGTTGTGTTACTAGACAGTACTGAGTTCTGACTTGGGCAGTCTGGTTGGAGTTTTGTTGCCTGAGGATGATATATATTAAAGCTATTTTCCTCATTGCAATATCTACTCTAATTATTAATATCCATACTTTATATCAACCTAAAACCATTTTTATTTGTGTAATACATACTGTTACGCATGTGGCTTTGTTTGTATGCAAGAGATTCACTTAACGCCATGTCTGGACAAAGAGAAAACAACAGTTCTATAAATACACCAGGTGGCCCAAGACTCCATCTTTAATACATCGTACTTGGAAAGTTGTTATAACTATCATTATATTTTATGATAGTCATTGCTTTAAATCCTGAATAAACTTTTTGACTGAATAAAGCTGGCGGTCCTGTCAAGTAGGAGCATGGTGATTAAATCAACTATACAAATATATCATCATGGCCGGATCTACGTTTGTGAAGATAAAAAAAATAAGTGAAAAACAGTCCCCTTCTTATTAGGGCTTGAGCCAGGACTGCATTGAAAGAACGGCTAATTTAATTCTCATAACTAGAATTAATACATTTAGCTGTTTTCTGGTAAGTTTCTTAAATCGCATGCAGGTGTTTGCATGTATTTACTAGCATCCTGACAAACCAGATGAAAAAAGTTGTCAATGAAACTTACACTAATCCTCTAACATATTCAAAAATTACATGCTACAAAGACTATACTTGTTTGACCTTGTTTCTGTGCCTTCCCTCCTGGAGTGATACTATACTTATTTTGAAGAGTGGCACAAATACTTGTACAAATTAGTATAAGTTGTAGGTATGTTTCCTTTAGGTACGTTTAATTGGGTTGATTGTTATCGTAGGTAATCTAGAAAGTATAAATTAATACATTAGGACCACAGTTTGACTTAACATTGTGGTATTAACATTCTTCTGATTCTTGTCTTTGATTCACTTCAGCTTTAGTTTACTTTAAAACAACACTAGTATTCTTATATCAATACATTTGCCAAATGTAAGTTTCAAGCAGATGATTCTCTTCCCTGAATGTTACAGTATGTGTACACTTTCAGTAATCTTTACCAGTAAAGAAAAATATACAATTTTGTACATAAACGTAAATTACTTTACAGTAGAAACATGTATATTATTAAAGTTTTGCAAAATATTTCGTTGTAAACAATTTTGTTGTTGTGAATAATTTATATAACAAAACAAGGAAGGCTAATAATCACTAGTTTTTCATCAACTTGTTATTTGATTGTGGGAAGTATTAAATCTTATTGACGACTGTAACTAAAGGAATTTACAAGAATGTTTTTGGGCTTAAGATTCATAACGTCAAAATAACAAAGAAAATTATAAAGATGTTCATGACGTTATTCATTGTAAGATGTTTAATATTGGCTGCTAGCTTTTTAAGGATGTATTTGTTGGATGAAGACCTTCTAGCAAGGGTGTTGAAGGCTAGCCAATAATATATATTCAAACGTGAAAAATGTCTGACAGTTAATCATAAATGAATACATTTTCCAGTATAGATTCTAAACTTTTAAACAAAGTAATTACAGAGTGTTAGGCAGCAATGTATTATATTGTTTATTTTTCTCCCAAGTGATACAGTATACTTGCTAACAAGGATAATTTATTCAATACATTAATGTTCCAACATTTCAAATCTACACATACAATAAAAATGCAAGCTTTTAATAAAAAACATTTGATTATCACTATTAAACTAACAATTCAAAAATAATTCTAATTATAAATACTTTCCACAGTTCCATTTAAAACTGTTGGCAATCTGACTAAATTAATCTATATGCTACTTTTATGAACAGAACAGAAAGTTGAGACGGACCACTAAAACAACTTCAGATATGTTAAATATATATATATACAGATGATGAAGAAAGTATTCATTCTTTTAGCAATTAATCCTATAGCGTTTTCTCCTTATTATCGTTCTTAAGTTTAAAGCATTGTTAGAGTTCAAAAGCTAGTCTTAAAGTTGATATTACAGACATCAGTTTATTTACAAGGTTCTGGTATGATGAAGATTGACCATGTGGAAGATCATCATCAATACACCTAGTTAATCTCATGCTTAGTAATCTCACACGAATTCTAACTGATCCCTGGATATCGCTTGGCTTTTACTGCATGACTCATTACTGAAACAATGTCATTTATTCTTGTTTAATAAATATACATATTTAGTACTCAGTGGCATTAATTGTCACTCAAACAACGTTCTTTATGCTTGTTTAATAAATATACATATTTAGTACTCAGTGGCATTAATTGTCACTCAAACAACGTCCTTTATGCTTGTTTAATAAATATACATATTTAGTACTCAGTGGCATTAATTGTCACTCAAACAACGTTCTTTATGCTTGTTTAATAAATATACATATTTAGTATCGAAAATAAAGTCATAAGACCAAGACTAAGCACACCACCCTACTCTGGTGTCATAAAGAAATCTTTCAGCACAAGCTAAAAAAAAAATATTGGAGTATTTCAATAAATTTGGATAAATCCGGCTAAGGGTTCAAAATATCATGACACTACTGATACAGTGACTTCAAAATAGCATGACACTACTGATACAGTGAGACAAACATTGAAGATTATTAGAAACTCACGGTGACAGTCCACCTAATCTTTGGCATAGATGTCTCTCTGTCAGTGTTTTCTAAACTGTATGAATACTTTTATATAGGAATTTAGGTTGTATACGTCCATTTTTCAGTCTACCTATTGTCTAAGTCCAGTCTTTCTTGCACACACAACTCTCAGCATTCACTTGCCACTGGTGGCTAATTTTGGCCTCAAGTAAAATAACAAATAAAGCTACTTTCAAAGTCCAGTTCAGTGGATCGATTGTAAATGCTGATTTTGCTATCATCTACTGTTTTGGATTGCATAAGCATGTGACTTTTTCAGATTCATATTGGCTCTGGATAATAAAACCAGGAGGAATAATGGCAAGAGTAGAAATTACGGTATCTGTGGTTGTGAAATTCGTGGATCTAAGTAAAATTTGGAGGAAGTCATGTTAGAGGAACCAGATGGCAAAATATGGATGATGCTATAGAGCTGTCTACCACAGTTACTCTCCAATGATGGCTAAACATCCAATTAAAATATTCTAATTAACACATAGAGCTCTCTACCACAGTTACTCTCCAATGATGGCTAAACATCCAATTAAAATATTCTAATTAACACATAGAGCTCTCTACTACAGTTACTCCCCAATGATGGTCAAACATCCAATTAAAATCTTCTAATTAACACATAGAGCTCTCTACTACAGTTACTTCCCAATGATGGCCAAACACCCAAGTAAACATCTAATTAACACATAGAGCTCTCTACCACAGTTACTCCCCAAAGATGGTCAAACACCCAAGTAAACATCTAATTAAAAAATAGAGCTCTCTACCACAGTTACTCCCCAAAGATGGTCAAACACCCAAGTAAACATCTAATTAACACATAGGGCTCTCTACCACAGTTACTCTCCAATGATGGCTAAACATCCAATTAAAATCTTCTAATTAACACATAGAGCGCTCTACTACAGTTACTCTCCAATGATGGCCAAACATCCAAGTAAACATCTAATTAACACATAGAGCTCTCTACCACAGTTACTCTCCAATGATGGCTAAAGATCCAATTAAACATCTAATTAACACATAGAGCTCTCTACCACAGTTACTCCCCAATGATGGTCAAACACCCAAGTAAACATCTAATTAACACATAGAGCTCTCTACCACAGTTACTCCCGAATGGTGGCCAAACACCCAAGTAAACATCTAATTAATACATAGAGCTCTCTACCACAGTTACTCTCCAAAGATGGTCAAACACCCAAGTAAACATCTAATTAATACATAGAGCTCTCTACCACAGTTATTCCCGAATGGTGGCCAAACACCCAAGTAAACATCTAACTAGCATATAGAGCTTTCCACGACAGTTACTCTCCAATAATGACCAAACATCAAATTAAACACGTGCTGACACATAGAGCTGTCCATTTTCATGATAACAACCCCTTGAAAGAATACGTGTATAATGTTTACTTGACGTTACCGTGTTGGTTCATTAAAGAATGTGTAGAGAAAATGCCATTTCTATATACTTTAATTAAATCTTCGTCATTTTAAAATGTCACATTAGGTTATCGTCTTTAAAAGTTCTATAAAAGAATTTGAAAACTCATTCTGAGTTACTTGCGAGATGCAAGTTAAATTTATCAGTAGAAGAAATAATTAAAGCCATTTCTGAATCCATGAGGTTTACCAAGTCTGTTTAAAAACTACAACAATTGGAATAATTGTCTTGGCCTTTGGAAGGAGGTCACGGGTTCGAATCCTGTCACTGAATATGCTCGCCCTTTCGGTCGTATGGGCGTAATAATGTTACGGTCAATCCCACTATTCTTTGGTAAAAGATAAGGCCAAGAGTTGGCGGTGGGTAGTGTTCACTATCTGCCTTTCCTCTAATCCATCACTGCTAAATTAGGGACTGGTAGCGCAGATAGCACTCGTGTAGCTTTGCGTGAAATTCAAACCAAACCAAGTGTTTGGAAGGTGTTTTAATGGGACTTAAGGAAAACTGTGGGTGCGATCCATGCAATGACAATGACTGAAATATCGTTATGCCTGCATACAAGTGCCAAGCTAAATCATGGAATCTTAACAGCAAAATTAGTAAGGTGTTTTATATTATACTGTTTGTGATGTGTCACATTGTAAAACTATTGACAACTTTGTAAAACAAAATGTCAGATCTTCGTGGTTTGTATAGAGTTCTTCACTACAGTTTTTGTTAGAAAATTTCCATATTACTAAGCTAATATCTTCCGCGCCCTCTATTAAAAATCTACTTAAAATTATAACTTTCATCAAGTGAGTTTTGTTCTCTATTGTTTTTTTATACACTGCCAAGGAATTGCAAAGAAATGACGTCACACCACTTCCGTCACTAAGAAATGACGTCACACCACTTCCGTCACTGTCATGTATAATCTACATTACACAAAATTAACTTTTAACTCCTTTATTTTCTCCCGGAGAAACTTGGTCTGTGTTTTCGTTACGTCTAATACGCTGCCACATCTTTACGTACTAAGTACAGACATTATATTTAGTGCACTAAAATTAGTTCAACGTTTATATCCTCGTCATTCAGCAACCTTAATTTGGAATGATATCATTCATAGACTCTCTGTCTAAATAAAGAAGTTATCTCCTCGACGGTTTTGTTTTTGGTTTCAGGGACTTTTTTGTACGTAAATATCCAGAAGATAGCCAGCAGGACTGTAAATATTAAAAACGTATAATCCCCCAGGATGTTCTGTAAAACAAAATAATTATAAATAAGGTAATGTTTAAAGAAAAAAAACTTTCATTAAAACACACGATCACTAGCGGAAAAAAAAGAAAAAAAGATAAAAACCTGATTGCGAAATTTATTTCAGAAAATTAAAAAAGCTAATAACCAATATATTTGAATCAAAATAGGAAAATTGGTAAGAATTTTTCACGTACCAATCCATAACGTAATGATAAGATTTGTGAGTTAAAAGTTCCTTCAGTATAATAAGGAAGCAACAATTTACAGTAAGACTTTGATTCAAAAATTATTATTAAAAGTTTCTTTCCGCACTTTTGATAAGTATGACTATTTTAGTTGTAGGTTTGTTTCACCGCTATATCATCAGTTTTATACTCTGGCTCGTAGGTTGGTTTAGCCGCTCGGAGGGGGCGGGGGTAAAATCGGTACCTTATAACGAAAACCTTTGGGAATATTATTTTTGCCAATACTATGTTATATATATATCATTGGTACTCAGTACTGAACACAGTAATTTATAAAAAAACAACAAATAAATCACATTATTGTTACAAAATTTGTAGACACTGATGTAAGTTACTACATTCGCTTATAATTT